TTTCCACAGGAGCCACAAGCATATTTCCCAGCTATGCCTCCCTAAGGAGCCCAGCCTGGCTGGAGGAAATGTAAATTAATATAGAGAAAAAATGTGCAAATCAGTGAGTGGGAGCCCAGCCCGGCAGGGACCCTGCTGTCACAGCTCAATACCTGCAGCGCCAGTATATAAATGTTATGGCCAACTTCCCGGGGGGAAACCTCAGCATTTTCACACTCCTCCTCCTGCAGATAGGCCTTCTTAATCATCTTCTGAATCACGTCGACCTGGAAGGCAGCAGAGGGACAGTGAGCTTCTCCCCATCTCCTTGCCTCAGCTTCCTCCTCTGGCCATGAACAGCTCTGGGAAAATCATTATGTGAGGATGCTCATACAAAGGTGGTGACCAGCAGGATGGTCATTGGATTGCAAACCAGAAACCACATCAGGACCCACAGGCAGGAGAGGTCCAGCCTTGGCCCAGAGCGGGGCTGGGGGCTCACTGGGGCAAGGCTGGGGGTCTTTCAACTGTCCACGCTCACCAGTTCCTGCGGGCGGAGGCTGATGAGGATCCGCTCAGCGTTTTCGCTGTCATGTCTGCTCTCCATGAGTGCCAAGAGGAGCTTGGAGGCATTGTCCTGGAGAGGAAAAGCCTTTGCTGAGGGGACCTGTGCCCTGTCACTGCCCAGGGTGGGCAGAAACCCCCTGTGTACTGGTCAGCTGGAACTCCCCCACACTAGAGGCACCCGAGCCTCACACAGTCCCACCAAACCTACCTGCTCCCGCACTCAGGACCTGCCACATGCACAGTCCCCAGCACAGCAGCCACTGCATCCCACCGCCCACCCCACGGCCGTGCCGGCAAGTCCACGCAGTGACACGTACACACGCGTGCCCACCAGCCCAGCCCGGGGCTGAGCCTACCTTCAGCTGCAGGACCAGGTCCATGCGGTACTTGCAGAGGGGGCTGATGTCGTTCAGGATGAGGGCTGTGATGATGTCGATCCCATTGGACTCGTGAGTCACGATGCAGCTCTAGGGGAGCAATGCAATGCTGTTAATCCTGCCAACACTGCCAGTCCCACTCCAACACAGCCCAGGTCCAAAACGGGACCCTGCCTCGTTACGCCAGGAGCCCCAACCCTGTCTCTGTGGAAAGGGCAGTGTTTGTACCATTGCATTATTTAACCCCCATCTGCATCCCCATATTATCTAACCACACCGTAGCTCATAACCTGGGCAGCATCCCTGTGCAGCCCCCTGGCATCCTCTTGCTGCCCATGTTCTGCTCCTATTCACATCCTGAAACCAAAAGCCAGCCCTGTCCCTGCTGCTTTCCCACACACCCTCCTCCAAATCGTCCCTTGGGCATCCCCGATCACTGGGATGAGGTGCCCTAGGAATGACCCAGACCTGCAGAGAAAGCCACAGACCTGGTTCTCGTGGCAGGGCCCTTGGCAGTACTCGGTGAGGGTCTCCAGGGTCTGGGTGATGAGGGCCACGTTGTACTCGTTGATGTAGAGGCCCAGCAGCCCCAGCCCCCCCGTGGTGCTGCCACACATGATGTCGAGGAACTGGAGTGTCTCACACACTAGATTGTAGTTGGTTTTGTTGTTCTGGCACCGGAGGAAGTTCTGTCAAGCAAAGCCTGCAGTTACGGGGCTGAGCGACGTTGTGCTGATGGTGGAGGGGAACGTCCTGACTCCCCTCCCAACAACCCCTCCAGCTGCAGTTCCATGGAGAATTGAGCTGGGGCTACCCCTGTAACGTGCAGAGCTCTGAGAGCAACACTCAGCCCCACAGACACGGTTGAACAGCTCCTTCCACAATGCAACAGTGCATTTGCAGATGGGGAAACTGAGGCACGGAGTGGCTGGTGCGATGGTTTTTTTGGACCAAAGCGGGGCAGAGCCCAGCCTTTCCACAGCCCGTTCCCACGACCTCTATCCCAAAGCCAGACCCCAGCAGCCCCCGTAACCAACCTGCAGGTCCCGGTTGTGGTTCTCGCAGAGCAGCTGCAGGAAGCGCAGGATGGGCTCCATGATCAGGACTGTCACCCCCATTTCATTGTTCTGACCCTGCTCCCCAGTGTCATGGCCCTTCCGAAAGCCTATGGCCATCGGGTATCGGGAGGGGGTGCCAGGCATCAGGAAGGTGTCTCCTCGTCCTAGAGGGGATCCCAACCTCGTTAGCATCGGGCTGTCTGACGAGACAGATGTTGGCTCTACCAACGGAACAGGGTCCTACCTTTGGTGCCAGGGTCAGGCTCCTCTTTGTCCTCACGAGGCTTGTTCCCGATGTCGCTCATGTTCACAGACACCGTCGACTTGGTCTCCTGCTGCGCCTTCTTCATCCGGTCGTGCAACACTTTGAAGAACTTCTCGGACTTCTTGTCGCTCGTCATGAGGTTATAAAAGGATTTCTGGGAGGAGGAAGGACAGACACTCAAGTCTCCACCGTGGGGTTCAAACCGTCCCCACCTTTCCTTCTGATTCTGTAGCCTCCAGCACTCAAGACCTTGACTGAGATAACCTGGTGAGCAGGTTTTTTTCTACACAACAGCCCTGGACGTGACAGTGCTCTCGGATGTACGGGGACGGATCGTCCCCTGCCACTGTGCTCTCCTTTACCCTCAGCAGGGTTAGAGAAAGAGCAAGCAGCAATTACAGCAGCTCCAGGCCAGGAACCCTAATGGGTTTTGCATGTACAATTTTTCAGCTTCCCCGTGATAAAGTATCCAAGATAGCCCAGGAGTTATCACCCGGAGCCATTTTAGCAATTCCCGGCAGAGGGCATCAGCATTACTCCAGAACCAGCCTGCACCAACCTGCCCCTTTTGCAGCCCTCGAGGAGCTGGAAAATCCCAAACCAGACCAGATTCCTGCAGTTCATCCTCTGGACAGCCAGCCAACACACACAACAGTGTTTTAGCAAAGCCTGCTTGGCCCAGGGGCCAACCCAGGACTGAGAACTGCCCTGCACCCACGTCTTCCAAGCGTCGGGAGCATCACACCGCGCACATCAAAGCGCGGCTGCCCAGCCAGGGCTCAGCACCTGGATCTCGGTGTTGCCTCCATCCAGCAGCCGGATGGCAAGCAGGATGCTCTCTTGGAAGATCTTCTCGTTCTTGGTGTTCATGATGAGGTCAGCCACCAACTTGGTGGCCCCTTCCCGGTCCAGCCGGCACTGGACAGCAGCGATAGCGGACCAGTCCTGGTCTTGGCCTGCACGAGAGGACATGGATGGATGTGATGCTGTGGGAGTGCAGGAGAAAGAGCACAGCTAAATCACTCCCAGCTCCATCCCTTCATCTCCCCACATCCTTTACTCCCACGGAGGTGGGCGACCCGCTACAGACCTGATCCCATCCTGGCTCGGGAGCCAGGAATTTGAGGTGTATGTGAGCTGTGCAGAGAGACAGGGAAGGCACAGGACAGGGACACTCACCTCCGCCAGCAGCATCCATGACTTCTCCTTTGGAGCTGGACTTCTTGTTCTGCAGGTAATTGTTCAGGAGCATTTTCCGCAGCAGGTTGCCCTGCCAAGACAAATAAACGTCACGAGTCTCCCAACGCCCGGGCCAGCACTTAGAGCAGAACGAGGCTGAGGACCTGTGGGCTGCAGTGGGGAGGGCACTGGGTGGTGGGGACTGCATGGCTGAGGAGCAGGTCTGGGGACGTGCCGTGGGACCCTGGTGCTCACCCTCTCACCGTACTTGTTCCTCTTCACCAGCATCTGCTGCAGAGTCCTCAGCACCTTGATGCACAGCTTCTCCTCCGTCTCCATGAGGTCCTTGGTGTGCTGCACCAGCCTGGTATGGCAGAGCTACCATCACACAGAGGGACAAGGGGGTCCCCAAGGGAACTGTCCCCACCACCCCTCCAGGCTGCGAGCACACGCTGGGATGCACAACCCACAAAAGATGAAGGTCACCAGCCCCTCCCAGCAACCCCTGAGCCATCTGCAGAACATCCTCACTTGGACAGGAAACCTCCGCTCTCGCATCGCTGAAACGCCTCCGTCCCCTCCATGAAAAGCAGCTCCGGCCGGGGGAGGACATCCACCAGGACAGACAGCTCAGCCTCCACCAGTGGCTTCAGGCGATCCTCCAAGGCGCTGATGATGTCCTGCAAGTCACAGCACACACCTTTAGGGCCAATACACGCCTAGGAGACGCGAGCACGGGCGACGGACCCTGCAATGCCAGCGCCTTCTCGCTGTCACGCACTGATCCATGCCACTGCCGCCTCCTTGACCCATACCTGCAGCTTCTCTATGATGTTCTTGTAGTCCCACTGGTTGGGGGTGGTGGAAACCCGGGGGAAGGTCCGTGTGGCCGTCTTGTAGCTGGACGTGTTCCTCTGCACGGTGCTGGTGGAGCTGCTGTTGAGCAGGGAGCTGACATGGGCATCCAGGTCCATGGGCAGCGCGATGGAGCGGCTCTTGGCTGCAGGAGATGGAGTCGAGGTTGGGGACAGCCACAACCCAAGCCCCATCAACTGGGTCCTACCACAGTGCTTTGGGCTGGGGACCCCTTCTTCAGCTCTTCATTTGCAGCAGAGATTTGGGCTAAATACAAGAGTAAACTCCCCCAGGGTACTGAAGGGTGGAGCATTTCGATCTATCCCTCCCCACTGCAGCACAACATTGCTCACAGCTCCCCCCCAGCCCAACGGAGGATGGAAAGAGGCACCTTCCCCAGTTTTCGGTTGGGAAAGCCCAGCATGGAGATGTTGTAAGCACCCTGGCTTCAATTATAAAGGGAAATCCCCACCCAGTGTCTAACCACCGAGCAATCCTTTCCGTGGTGACTCAGCGCTAACAACCCTCATCCCGAGCCAGGCTGAGGGCAAAGTCCTTCCGAGGGAAAACCACCATAAATGCTGGCTTTGTTTCTCCAGCAAGGAACACACCAGGGATCTCCCAACCAAGCTCTTAGTTCCGTTATCCCCACACCACCCTAGTCATGCCTGGAGAAGTAGCTCAAAAAAATAAGAAAAAAAAAAAAAAGACACCACCACCCACATCCCAGAGCCAAACCTCCCCACTCCTGGCCAGCAGCGTCCCACCAGGGCACCTGGCCAGGACCTGCCATATAATATAATAATTAAAAAAATCAGATGGTTTTCAAAAATAAGGCGTCCAAGCGTCCCAGGGCGTGGTGCAGGGAGCCAGCCCCGGCACGGAGCTCTTGGCAGTGCCTGGGCTTGGTCAGGGACGACGGCTCTTGCTCGCTGCCACAGCGGAGGCAGCCAGGGGTGGTTGCATCCTCCTGTGGGGAACCCAGCATCCCCCGGCAGGGCTCCTTACCGACCATGGCCAGTGTGCGGATGCAGGCTTCCACCGAGCTCTTGTGCTGCTGCTGCAGCCAGGGACACTCCAGCAGCCTCGTGGTGGACTGGAGAAGCTGCACCACAATGGTCTGGTGGGTCTGCAGGAGACAGCAGGTATGTATCACCGCAAGGCGTTGTTTTGGGCGGGCTGAGTGAGCCCCTTTCCTCTCCCTGCCAAGGTTGGCCACGCAGCGCTTCGTTACCTGCAGCGAGGTGCTGTTCTCTGAGAAGGGGGAGCTGAAAAACGCGTTGATGGTGTCCAGCACCACTGTCAGCACGTACTTCTCCAGCGTAGGATCTGGCAGGCGTTTCTCTCGCTTCTTGCACATCTGTGAGGAGAAGGGAGGATGCTGATGGCACCAGAAGGAGGTGAGCATACATCCTGGATGGATGCTGCTGGGACTTTGCTGAACCAAGGGACGTGGCTGGTGATGCAACCCCTGGGTCTACACCAGAGAGGTCTGACTGCTCCCCGGCCTCAAGCACGGCAACTACACAAGTCCCCATGGTGTCCACACCCCACGTCTGGCTCCCCAAGCTTCAAGAGTCTCTGTGACACCAACCTGTCTCCATCCGAAACAGCAGCCACTGCTGCTGTGTGCCGCCCACTCAACCCTCCCCCACCACCCGTTCCCCACCGAAAACACCAGCCACTGCTGCTGTGTCCCTCCCACTCAACCCTCCCCACACACCCGGGCCATGTCCAGGGTGAAGTTCTCAAAGAGAGTCCAGATGTGGTTGCTGGTGTAGATCTCCTTCATCTCCACCTCCGTGTCCACGTAGCAGTGGTTGACAAAGTTCACATAGGCCATCTTCACCTGCCAGGGAGGGAGGGAGAAGGGTCACCATCAGGAGAAGGCAATCAGTGCAAAGCTACTGGCACCCTCCCACCGTCCTCGCTGGGCACTCCGTACCTCCGTGATGCAATCCTCATGTGTCACCACCCGCACCACGTCCTCCAAGGGCAGCAGGGACGTGCACTTGATCTCCGTGTAGACGTTCTTGCCCTCGGCACAGGCAGCCAACAGGTCCACCAGTGAGATGTGGTACATCAGCGGGCTGTTCTCCTCCACCCCATCCCTGGCTGCTGTCATCATCTCCAAGAGGGTGGCCAGTGAAGCCTTGTCATTGTAGAAAACCACCACATCATCCCCGGCGTTGGTGAGCTGCAAGGGAGGGTCAGTGGTCACTGCTCCAGAGAAGGAGGGTCAGAAACCTCGCGAGGCAGAAAGCGGTGTCCTCTGCAGGGGGACGACAAGAGGGAGCACCCAGTGCCACACATTTGCAAGGAAAACCAAATCAACACAATCAACTTGTGGGACTGTAAAATGGTTATTTGCTCTTGGACCTTTCGTTAAGCTCTTGGAGATGCTTCCCGCTCCAGGGAGAAGCTGGCATGGCTGGGAAGGGTCTTCCTCAAGGAAGAAGCCAACTGTGCACATCCCAGGAGCTGTGCCCTGCTTCCCCACGCTCACAGCTCACGGGCTGGAGGGACAAGTGCTCACCTCGGTCATGATCATGTCCTGGCACTTCTTGACGTACTTGCCCTCAGCCTTGATGATGGTGTGCAGGAAGTCGAGGTACTGGACGTGGCGGCCATGGGTGGCCACGCAGTGGATGAAGTGTTGCGGCACCGTCTCGTTGATCTCGGAGCAGAGCTGGTAGTTGTTGAGGAAGATGTGCTGCATCGTCTCAGCCTCCAAGAGCTGTAGGACCAGGGGAGCAGAGTGAGGCTGGAGCGCTGCATTGAACAGCCTCTCATCCTGCCCTAACTCTTCCTCTGCTGGGGTCTCCTCCTGGCTTTTGTATCTCTTCCTCTCAGCTCCGGGAGCTGTACTGAAGTCTCTCCCTGTGACCACTCTTCGGTCCCCTCTCCTTACCCCTGGGGTCAGGAACAGGTTGAGGTGTTTGTGCAGCAGGGCTTGGTTTTCCTGATTGCCAGCACAAAACTTCTGCAGGAACTGGTGGGTGAATTTCAGGATCTCCATCATCTTGGCATCACCCTGAGGAAAGGCAGAGAAGAGAAACACCCCGAGTCGGCGAGAGGAGGAGAGCGGCATCAGGCTGCTGCCCCTCCTGCCCTGGAGGTCCCTGCAGCCCCGTCCCCTTGCCCTGGGCACTTCAGGACCAGCCAGTGTCTGCCCACCCACCTTCTCATAAGGGATCTGCAGCAGATCCAGCATCACTTTGTGAGCGTCCATGTTCTTCAGAAGGCGCTGCTGCTTCTTGCGCACTTGCTCTCCGACCCCGCACATCTTATTTAGCCGCTCCAGGATCTGGGGAGAGAAGGACCGTGGCAGAAGGGAAAAAAGCTTGGGAGCCCATCAGGATGACCACCAGCCCTGGAGGCTTGCTTGCCCTCCATAAACCCAGGTGCTCCCTGCATCACTTGCAAATCTTGGCACCCTCCTCAGAAATCCTCCTTGCGATGCCACGCAGGGAGCCTTTGTACCCGTCACCAACCCTCTCCTCTCCAGTCCTCAGTACAAGGCTGCCTCAAGAGCCCCGGGGATGTAACAGGGCTCCTCCTTGCGATGAGCTGGCAGGAACAAGCCCTGGCTTGGACTTGCTTCCGCTGAAGCACAGGAGAGCTTGGAAGTCTTCCCTATAATTTCAACCATTCTCTTCTTGCTGGTGCATCTGTGCCAACCCAGGCCAGGCAGAGAGTCCTGGAACTGCCCTGGGGAGGGCATTCGGTCTCACTTACCCCTTTGACTATCTGATAGTTCTCGCTGCTCTTCTCTCCTGGAGCAATGACCTCTTCATCAGCAGCATGCTGCAAGAGACAGGAACACCACCAGGGTCCCACTGCACCTCTCCAAAGCTCTGCAGAACCCTCCCTGGCCCTTCTCTTCCAAGGAGTGGGGTGCACGGCCCATCCAGAGGCGTGAGGTGTTGGATTGAAGTGAGCTGCACCTCTGCCTCCCACTTCTCCCAAAGCCGGTTCCCAGCATCTTGCTCTGGGCTCTCACCTCTTTCTTCTCCTTCTTGTTGCCCTCCACTGTGCTGTCCCCTTTGCTGCTGCCCTTCTTGTCCACCCAGAGCTCCGACTTCTCCACCATGGTGCGGAGTTTGTCCAGCTCCGACTTGATCACCTTGTAGTTCTCAACATCTTGGGCTGAGATCAGGAGCTGAACCTGCAGCAACATTCCCAGGGGTTTCCAGCTTGGGGCATGAACCCTATTCTCCTCTTCTGCCAAACCTCCCTCCCAAGGAAAGGTGCCAGGACCCATCCCATGCCCTGCACCCACAGCCAAGCATGGAAGTAGAGGTGCTCCAGAGCAGCGCTGCAACAGTGTTACCTGCTTGAAGGTGTGCAAGACCTCCTGCCTCTGGCTGAAGTGCTTGAAGAGGAGCTGCAGGGAGCCGGAGATGAGCGGCGGGTAGTCGTGCATCGTCAGGTGGATCAGCACCCGCAGAAACATCCTCCCTCCCTCGTCATCCACCTCTAACATGCTGCTCGTCTTCCTGAAGCCGGGACGAAAGCGCTTCGTGTTAGCAGCCACGCGGGAGCTTGTGCGTGCTCAGTCACCCCTCGGGGCTGACGGGGACAGCTGCATTAGCCTTTAGAGCCTCATCTTCCTCATCACCTGCAGCTCTCAGCCTCGGCAGTATGGACAGGAGAGGAAGAGCCCTATGGCCAGGCTAATTATGCACCGGAGGGGGCAGGGACTCACCCCACACCGAACATGGCTTCTGCGTGCTCCCCAATCCGGTCCAGGTTCATGGCTGCAGCTGAAGGGAGAAGAAAGGGAGATGAAAGGGACGGCCACCGTGATCCCTGCATCACCTGCAGCTCTCAGCCTCGGCAGTATGGACAGGAGAGGAAGAGCCCTATGGCCAGGCTAATTATGCACCGGAGGGGGCAGGGACTCACCCCACACCGAACATGGCTTCTGCGTGCTCCCCAATCCGGTCCAGGTTCATGGCTGCAGCTGAAGGGAGAAGAAAGGGAGATGAAAGGGACGGCCACCGTGATCCCTGTGCACCGGAGGAAACTCAACAGGGACCAACCCAGCCCCCTGGCTCCTGCTCCGAGCATCCATGATGGACACAAGACGCCTTATCCCATCTGCACAAACCCCAGCCCCCACCATGCTCTCTGCCAGGCACCTCCGGGACCTGCCCCCCCCCCCGCCTGCGTGTCCCCAGCCTGTGGGGTTGGCTGAGTGGAAGGTGTACCAGGAGCAAAGTGGAAGAGTTACTTGTGGAGTCAAAGGCTGGAGCCGTCCCGTCGGCCGCACTGTCCTGCATGGGGTAGACTTCCACAAACTCCTTCTTGAAGACGGAAAGCAGGTAGGAAATTCTGTAGTCCAGCCGCACGTTCAGGATGAACTGGTAGCAGTGAAGAAGAAACAAGCAACAATGAGTGTCCTCTTCACGTCAGCTGTCTCTTTGCATCAGAAACCCACGTCCTCCCCTCACCGCCCCATCCCGCTGGGCCCACCTGCAGATCCACAACGCTTTTCCCACCCCACTGGCTCCAACCTGCAAGATCTCCAGGATCTTCAGCTTGGTCTCCATCACCACAATGTTCTCGCTCTCAATGCTCCTCCCTCTGTCCACTTGCTCAGGGGCAGACCCAGCACTGAGGCTCGGGGGGCTGAAGATGGACTGCTTCCTGCTCAGCACCATGGTGGACATCATCTGCCCAACGCCCTGGATCGACCTCCGCACGTTCTTCCCTATAGAGGCAGCCACAGTGGGCAGAGTTAATGAAAATGAAAGGGAGGTGGCAAAGGACCAAGGGAAGGACTCACTCAGACTGGAAAACGCTGCAGATATGAATGAGACCACAGAAACACTTACGGAGCAGGGACTTACCCGTCACCTCGTCGTTGTAGACTGCCCCCATCATCAGCTGAGGGTTCTGGACGCAGTCGATGATGCCCAGCAGCGTCCGTGTCAGGCGCAGCAGCTCACTGAAGCTGTAGAAGCCGAAGTAGATGAGGTTGTGGGCAAGGCTGACGACCTGGGAAAGGACAAGGCAATTCCAGAACCTCGCCGTGCTCGAGGCTGAGCACGATAAGCAGAAACAGGGCAAGAGGGATGTCAGCGTGGCCACCACCATTGCAGAGGCGTTTGCAGCCAAAGCGTGCCAGCGCATCCTGCAGCGCGTCAGTGGCATCGGCAGGACTCGCACCTCGAAGGTGAGCTTGTTCTTCTCCTCGTTGGCGAAGGGCACTGCCTCGCTCACCACGTTGTTGAGGTAGTCCTCCACGAACTCCATGGTGCTGGCAAACTTGTTCTTCTTGTCATCGCGTGAGGCGTTGAGGTTGGAGTCGTAGCTGTGAGGGGAGATGGTGGGGGTGAGCTGGATGGCAGGAGGACTCCTTGCTCCCAGCCTGGAAGGAGCACTCTCCAGGCAGCTGCTGAGCCATCACGGCCAGAAGTGATGCTCATGACTGTGATGGACCCCGCTTCCTTCTTAAGGCTGAGACCTGCCAAATTCGCTCCACAAATGATCCCTCCCAGCCTCTGCCAAAGCCAAGCCAGTCCCTACAGTGGATGGCACCTGCCATCCCACCTCCTGCCTTGCCCCTCAAAGCTGCTGTGAGGCCCAACGTGTCTCACTCTTTGATCGTGATTGCCGTGGGGATCTCGGTCCAGAGCCGCGCAAACTTCACGGGCATCACCAGCTCCTGGGGGTCCCTGTCCACGTGCACGTGCAACATGAGGTGGCAGAAGGACGCCCGGAGGTCGAAGGGCAGCATCTCATCTGCCATGCAGAGGAAGATCAGGTCCACACCCAGCTGCTGGGAGATCTCCTTGATGGCCAAGTACTGGCGATCCAGGCACATGCGGGCAAAGAGCTTCAGCTGGTACCTGCCCAGGGATGAGGGGGAGAGGGAGTGAGGCCGTGCAATCCTCAGCCCCTCACCAGGAGAGAAGACGCTGCAGGATCGTCACCTGTAGTAGCTGAGGACGTTCTCATCATGGGCATTGCCAGCCCGGGCCTCCTGCGCCAGCTGCCGGATGCTTTTCTCATGGTGGTCGTTGTTCTTGTCTGTCCAGGTGAGCCAGACCTCCTCCTCTGAGTACTCGATGCTCAGGTACTCGTGGGTCTGGGACATCTCCTTCACTGGCCTCAGCCTGGGAGAGAAAAGAGGTAAAACTGGAGATGCTCCCGTGGACAGGCAGCAGCTGCACCCCAAGGGGTGACGGGGGTTTTGCCAAGGCACCGCAGGAGCTGGTGGAAGGCAAGGCCAGGCACCAGACCCCGAACACGGAAAGCCTCTGCCCTTGGCTACCCACTCAGTTTTGATGAGGATGTCGCTGTTCTTTGGGTCCAGCACGCACTTGCAGATCAGCTCCTGGGTGACGGGGATGGCAATGTGGTTGGATACGCACAGGTCCGAGAGGTAATCCAAAAACCTACAGAGCAGAGACAGAGCTGTAGTAGTCCAAAAACCAACAGAGCTGTGAAAGTGGGGGTCCCGAGGGGCTCTTCCCACCTCTGGTCAAGGCACATCCCACCCATCCCACAGCACAAAACCCTTTGGGACGGGGCCTTTCGGGACACGCACCGTGGCTCGCGGTTCTTGCGCACCAGGCTGACGAAGGTCTCCACCTCAGTCTTCGTGATGTGCTTCTCCAGCAGCTTGCGGTTGTTGTGCAGCAGGGCCGTGATGGTGTCCTCGGCCAGGATGTCGTAGCCGATCTGAGACTGCATCATGCCGAACTGCTTGGCGATGTGCTCCTGGAGCGGCCAGAGAGGGGGTGAGCAGGTGGGGTGCCGGGGTGCAATGGCCCCTGCCCTACCGAGACCTTGGCAGCCCCCCAAGGCTTTGCAACACGGGGCAGGGATGGGGGAGTGACCCTGTCACCTGCCACGCACCTGGTTCTTGCGATAGTCCTCCTGGGAGTGCCGGAGCACGCGGTAGCACAGCCGAAACATGTACTGGTAGGGAGCGTTTTTCTGGTCTGACAGCTCTTCCAGCCGCACCAGGGGACCTTCCCCACCCTTGTCCTTGAAGGGGGCTTTCAGGATCCCAAAGATCTGCCCAAAAATAGAGATGATGTGTGTTGCATCCCGCTCCACAGCGTCACCTGCACTCATGGCTGGGCACCAGTCGTGCTTGCCAGGAGGGTTGAGTGCACAACTGGGGCATGAGCTGGAGACCAGCTACACCTCCTTCACAGGGCGTCCTAGGTCCCTGGCCTCCAGCACACCCCTGGGCAGAAAAGGACATCTCTACTTGATCTCACTTGGATGCAGGGCCCCAGGGCCACTCACCTGCTTCAGGATGTTCTGTTCCCGCATCAGCTTCTGCCGCTCCCGGTTGGGCTTGGTCACCACGATGTCCAGCACGTTCTGACCGTTGTTGGGGACATCGCTGACAAAAAACACCAAGTCCTCCAGCAGCTGGATCACAAACCTGCAAAGGGGCAGGGCGCAAGTGGGGTATTGGGATTCTCCAGCCAGGGGGGCTGCTCACCCACCCCATGCAGTCCACCCAGACCTGGCTCCCTGCGATGATGCCAGCGCATTTTGGAGAACCAAAGCTCATGTTCACGGCTGCCATGGAAGCTGTTGGTTGATCCCCCCCTCCCTGCTACAAGCTAACAGCTGCCCTGAAGCAAGAGCTTCCACTGCCCCTATGGAAACTGTACGTGCCAGAGTAAATGCTCTTTGCTTGTGCTTCACACCAGGGATTTTGCATTTAACGCCTCTGCCCCCTTGGTCACCTTTGCGGGACCCGGGCAGGCGGGCTGGCAGGGCGGAAGCGGCTCACTCTGTCCCGTGGCGATCTGTGTTTGCTCAGGAAGCACCAAGAACCCACCCACCTAAAAATAACACTGTGACTAACCCGGCCGCCCCTATCGTGGAGCCATCTCTCAGCCCCTCGGATATTTTTCTAGCGGCAAAGGAGGGGCCGGAGCGGGGCTGCGGCGTTATCTGGTTTCCTCGCCAGGCTTCTGGGAGAAGCAGGCGTGGATTTGGGTTGTGGGCAGGAAAACAAGACAGCGCTGGCACCAAGACCCAGGCAGGGTCTCCATCCTGCAGTGATGCTGGAGGGCCCTTGGAGGAACCCAGCATGGTCCCATCCCTCCTAGAGAAATGACTTTTTTTACCTCCGGTCATTCTGGCTGAGAAAACCTTCGTTCATCTTGTCCACCACGTTGGCCAACATCGAGCTGGCGTCGTTGGCAAAGTCCAGGTCCCGGATCTCAGACACGGGCACAGAGACGATGGCGAAGGCTTCTTTGTCTTCTTTAGTGGGGCACGTGCCCAGCTGGGAAGCAACAGGGAAACAGCATCACACAGACAGGGCAATGCCAGGGATGTCCCCACCACCTGCCACCAACCTAGTGAAGTCCGTGACCCAGTTTGTTCCCATCAGAACAACTGGGGTAGGCTCTAGGTTACTGGGATAGGCTCGAGGCCAGTATCCAGCCACCTCCTTGAATCATCAGAGTATTTCAGTCCCTGGATAAAGCCGGGATGCTGGGTGAGGAGCATGCTCAGAGCTGTCGGGGAACAGGGGATAAATCCATGCCTGGGAGGAGGGAGCGGGGCCGTACCATGAGACGAATGGGCCTCTCCTCGTCGATGTCAATGGGCACGTTGGTGCTCTGGATCCAGGTGTTGGTGCAGAGGTGTCGTAGCCTCACGTAGGAGTTCCTGCAAATGGCACAGCGTCCTGGTGAGCGATCCCCACACGGGACGCGCCAGCGCCCGCCACCTCCCCCAGCACCCGTCGAAGCCCCCACAAGACTAGACTTGCCAAAAATTCCACTCTGCGCAATGAAACCTTCCTTTTTGACTCCAACCCCTCCACGGCAACGCATCCTCACGTACCGCGGGACGAAGGAGTCCGTCTTCTGCAGCGTGGTGGGTGCCAGCTCGAACAGGGA